ACGCATCAAGGATCAGTAAATTCTCCCTGATTGGCGCTCAGATCGCGCACAAAAATAAACAAATTGGGAAAAACAGATACGATTATTCGTGCCTCGTTTTTATAAATGTTGACACTGTGTAACTATAAAAACGAGCCGCGATGCTCGAATAATCGTATCTGCTCTAGCCGAATTGTCCATTTTTGTGTACAATCTGAGAGTCAATTAGGGAGAATTTACTGTATATTTCCAGAGAGGATCTTTCTCGTTTCGTTTCTCAGCCCTCGTGTTTACAATTGTTCCGCGTAACGGGGAACAGAGAAACGAACAGGCCGAAATTGAAATAACGAAGACAAACATGATCATTACCGTAGCTGCAATTACGAGGGGAGACTTTTTAGCCTTCATTAGTAAATGGCCGGGCAATTTTTGTACGCGGTACAGATTGCGCGAGACAGTGCTCGCCGTACTGCGAACTTTCATGGAACAGAAAAATCGTCGAAAAATTGTCCGCGCTTCTTGCAAGATGCTGGAGATGCACAGACGTCTACATACTTCCCTTCGAACTCCTAAGTGTCGATTGTAGTCTTTGGATTGTAGTCATAGTCTGTCAATTATAGTCATAAACTGTGAATTATAGTCTGTGTATTATAGTAATGGACTGTGAATTATAGTTTGTGTATTATAGTCATAGACTGTGAATTATAGTCTATGTATTATAGTAATGGACTGTGAATTATAGTCTATGTATTATAGTAATGGACTGTGAATTATAGTCTGTGTATTATAGCCATAGACTGTGAATTATAGTCTGTGTATTATAGCCATAGACTGTGAATTATAGTTTGTGTATTATAGTCATAGACTGTGAATTATAGTCTATGTATTATAGTAATGGACTGTGAATTATAGTCTGTGTATTATAGTAATGGACTGTGAATTACAGTCTGTTTATTATAGCCATAGACTGTGAATTATAGTCTGTGTATTATAGCCATAGACTGTGAATTATAGTCTGTGTATTATAATCATAACCTGCAGATTATAGTAATCCACTTCAAATCAAAGTAAAATATACAGTCCTATCGCAAATTTCAAGGTCATCTTGAAATCTCAAAAACACATCCACCCAGTAACAATTTGCCAGCATCATAAAATGCCTCTCTCGAAACAGTGTAAGTTTCATTCAACACGTTTTTCGAAACGAACTATAAATAGTTTAGGAGGCAAATAAGCGCATCATTTCAAATGGGACACCCTGTATAATCGACGGCATCGATGGATAATCTGTCGCGTCCCTGTGCCAATCATTGAACGATTCCAGCTGAGAATTAAAAATGCCATTCGAAAAATGTTGGAGAAACAAAAGCAGGGAGAAGATTGAGTTCAAATCGAAGCGGTCAAACGCGAGATGCAGGAGAAAACCGTGCGAAAAACCATACAGAGGGAACGAATGAATTTTATCGCGCCGTTTCAACCGCGGCGATCCAGCTTAATCCGCCACGCGGGAAATATTATACAAGGGTCCTCGGATTCGGGAGGTGAAAGAACGTAACCTGTTGCGGGTCAGGGAATCGGAAACGCGAGAACGTTCGTGTGTGTCGGCCGGACTACCCTCTTCTCGACAGGGAAAATCAGTCGTGCGTCGGCTGATATCATTCAAGAGCTTTGTTCCTACGGAAATCACTTGCGGTCCACCGAACCGCTGCATAGTGACGCGGCGACGTCGCTGGAATTTCATCGTCTTTCATAGTGTAACATCGTGCTTCACTGTGTTTTATTGTAAAGCAAAGAGTGGTTTCATCTTGTTTCATATTGTACCGCCGTATTTCATGGACAAATACTGTGTTTCACAATGTAACAGGATGTTTCATAGTGCGCCACCCTGTTTGACAATGTAATATCGTGTTCCATAGTGTACTATCCTGTTTCACAATGTAACATCGTGTTTCACAATGCAACATTCTGTTTCATAGTGTACCACCCTGTTTGTCAATCTAACATTGTGTTTCATAGTGTACTATCCTGTTTCATAATGTAACGTCGATTATCACAATGCAACACCCTGTTTTATAGTATGCTACCATGCTTCACTATGTAACATTGTGATTCACAATGCAACACCGTGTTTCACAATGCAACACTCTGTTTCATAGTGTACAACCCTATTTCACAATGTAACATCGTGCTTCACAATGCAACACTCTGTTTCATAGTGTACAACTCTATTTCACAATGTAACATCGTGCTTCACAATGCAACACTCTGTTTCATAGTGTACCACCCTGTTTGTCAATCTAACATTGTGTTTCATAGTGTACTATCCTGTTTCATAATATAACATCGATTATCACAAGGCAACACCCTGTTTTATAGTATGCTACCATGCTTCACTATACATAACATTGTGATTCACAATGCAACACCGTGTTTCACAAAGCAACACTCTGTTTCATAGTGTACCACCCTGTTTCACAATGTAACATCGTGTTTCACAATGCAACATTCTGTTTCATAGTGTACCACCCTGTTTGACAATCTAATGTTGTGTTTCATAGTGTACTATCCTGTTTCACAATGTAACATCGATTATCATAATGCAACACCGTGTTTCACAATGTAATATCGTGTTTCATAATGTAACACTATGTTTTACGGCATTCCACCCTGTTTGAGAATGTAACACCCTGTTTCACATGTACATCATCGTAAACACATCTTCACAGAAAAACGATTCATCTGATTTCTATGCCCCCGAACGACGAACCATGTTCACAACTGTACCATCGAAGAAGTACCGACAAATTCAAAGAGCTCCATTCAGCAATATTTGAAAACAGATTTTTGAAAATATTTTTTTCACAAACTTCCTAGCCTTTTTCCGCTGTTACCAATTTATCATCGATTCATTCCATTGAATCGCCGAAATTTGAATGTGCAATTGAACGATCTAAATGTCCCGGTTCAAAATTGTACACTGTACCCGGAGAGCTCCCTGAAAATTGAAGTCAAGCCACGGAGTACGAAGAATAGCCACTAGTTGGAAATTCACCCTTCGCTGGATGCGTTGCAAGGACTGCAAGGACGAAGAGAACTGCACCGACAAAAGGACTGCGTGGACGTCTGATTGCCGACGATAATAATGAGACAGCATCGCTCTGGACTGTAATCCCGTCGCCGAGTTGATCTCTCAAAAGGGACGTTCATCCGCGAAACCGAGGCTATCGATTTTCATTGGGAAAACATTCGAATCCCTACAACCCTTTGAGACTTTCTACGACGAGTCGAACGGTCGACTCGTGCACTGCTTTCGGTCACTGATTACAGGGATTTAAGTTCTGTTTATGGGTTGTGGATTATAGTAACACTCTGTGGATTATAGTAAAAAATGTGAATTATGATATTATTATTATTATAGATATTATATATTATTATTATAGAATTATTATATAGTGAATTATAGTTAGTTAATCATAAACTCTAAAATATAGACTGTGGATTATAGTCATTTTGAATTACAGTCACAGACTGTAGATCATAGTCATAGACTGTGAATTATAGTAACTATCTGTGGATTATAGTAATAGTATGTGAAACACAGTTATAGTCTATCGATTATAGTCACAGTCTAAGAATTGTAGTCAAAAACGGTGGATTATACTAAAAAAACTGTGGATTATAGTCCGTCAGTTATAATCATAAACTTTGAATTATAGACAGTGGATTATGTGAATTATAGTAACAGTCTGTAGATTATAGTAATAGTATGCGAATAATAGTCATAGTCTGTGAATTAAAGTCATAGTTTATAGATTATAGTCATAGACTGTAAATTATAGTCCTAGACACTGGATTGTAATCCAAGATTTTAGATCTTCATTCACTGATGCCACTTGCGAAATCATGGAACATGGAAACTCTTTCACATTGATTGAATTACACCAATCATGAATTAGGATGAATCAACAGCTAAACGTCAGCGACTCCACTGATCTATTCTGTCCAGAAGAAAGCGTTCAAACGGCAGTAATAAATTTCTTCCTTCTCCAGATTCGTACGAAACAATTGTGACAGAAGTGGGGACTGTCACAAGGATCCGGGTCACAATTATATTAAGAGATACATACGAATGACTTCATTGCTTCTCAGCTGTTCTGACACTGGTAGCACCAAATCGGACGAAACGACTGGTGTTTGATTTTCTCTTTTATAATTGCTGATGATTATAGGAACATTTCTGTGAAAAATGTTTTGATACGCGTGTTTGTGAAGTGTGTGTGAAAATTGTAAATCCAATATTGTCAGTGTTATAAAATAATATATTCATTGTATACTATGTAATAATATACTTTAATATATTATATTGTATTTGACATATTATATGATATATTATATTCTGTATAATGTGTTATGATATATTACGTTCTATATAACGTGTTATAATATATTATAATATATTATGTATATAATATAATCTATACAATATACACTCTATTATACAATATATATATAATTATATATCAAATTAATCGTGTTCAGTGCTACTCAATAGTGTCAGAAGTGAAATAAGTTGCAAAGTCAGATATGGGAATGTGACTTAACTATGTAATAAGATAATAAGTTTTAAAATCAAAGAGACACTTGGGACCACAGACGACCATTTAACCCCCAATAAGCATCTATTATCTCTCTCCCTCTCCCCCTCTCTTTCTCTCTCGAATCGAACATCTTCAATTATTTCTTGAACGTCGACCAATTTATCTTACATCCACGTCTTCTCATATCATCCCCTTCACGTTCCTCATAAAAAAATCGAAACGTTTCATAAAAGTGCTTCCTCTGCGCAATTTACGATCACAATTTTCTACATATTTTACCGAACCATTCAAATTATTTTCCGATCGTTATAACAATTATTATTGCTGCTGCCACTATTATCATCATTATTATTTCAAGCCGCGAAGGAGGAATGCGGCCGAGAATATAACGTTTCACGGTGGAGCCGAGTGAACGGTCCCTACCAGCAAGGACGATTTTCGAGGAACAGCGACGGTTTCCCAGGCGCGAGGATCAACATCGGCACATGTCCTTTTTTTTCCCCCGGTATCCTCCGCGGCGGTTTCTCACCTCCGTTCGGCGAGACGCGCGAATGAAACGGACCGTCGGCGAGGGACGACGACGACGAACGACGGCGGCGGCGGTGGTGCGTCCGAAGGCGAACTCTCGGCTCGGGGGGGAGTTACGGGACGAGCACGAACGAGAACGTACTTGCTCGTACGACGCGCCGAACGCGACTACCGAGCCGGAGAAACTACCCGGCTACTCCGGCCGTGCGAGTTCTACGAGTTCCGCGGGACGGCGACGTGCGTGTGCAGAAGTTCGCCGGGGTTCCGTACGCATGTGCGAACGTCCTGGCGAAACGTGAGCGAGACCAGACCACTCGCCGCCACTCGGGAACTGCGAGCCGTCGGGGGTCCGTCGAGGAACAGGTGCTCGGCCGTTTTCCCGCCGGAATCGCCCGCGGTATTCTAAAATTCCGAACGAAGTTCGCCGATGTTACAGGTTGCGTTTCTTCGCGAGAATTTCTCGGAATGTTATGCGATTTTATAATTTCCCGCATCTCGAGAAATTGCCGCATTTCTTGAGCGATTTTAATCGAGCAACATTCTTATGAATCTCGTTTACTTTGTAACGTATTTTCGGAAATGAATGTTTATTTAGATCGAATTGCGTGTTAAGCTCGAGTAATCGTACCTCCGCATCCCGAATCGTTCATTTTTGTTCGCAAGCTACGTTCACAAGATCTTTGGACACCTAAGTCCTTTGGACGCTAAGTCTTTAGACATCAGACTCTTGGACTTCGGTGGTTTAGACATAACGTCTTTAAACGTCAGACTTTTGGATGTTAGTATTTTGGATGTCAGTGTTTGAATTAAAGACTTTTGAGGGCCAGTTTTTTGGACTTCAGTTTTCTGAACTTCAATCTTTAGATATCAACATTAAGCAGAAAAAGGCTTCAGAGATCAGTTATTTGAATATAAAGTCTTGAGACATCAGTCTTTTGGACATAAAGTCTTTAAACGTCAGACTTTTGGATGTTAGTATTTTGGATGTCAGTCTTTGGATTAAAGACTTTTGAGGACCAGTCTTTTGGACTTCAGTTTTCTGAACTTCCATCTTTAGATATCAGCCTTTTGCACAAAAAGTCTTTTGGACTTCGGTCTTGGATGTTAATATTTTGGATGTCAGTCTTTGAACTTCAGACTTTTGAGTGCCAGTCTTTTGGACTTCAGTTTTCTGAACTTCGATCTTTAGATATCAACCTTAAGTAGAAAAAGGCTTCAGAGATCTGTTATTTGAATATAAAGTCTTGAGACATCAGTCTTCTGGACATAAAGTCTTTAAACGTCAGACTTTTGGATGTTAGTCTTTTAGATGTCAGTGTTTGGATTAAAGACTTTTGAGGGCCAGTCTCTTAGACCTCAGTTTTCTGAACTTTCATCTTTAGATATCAGCCTTAAGCACAAAAAGGCTTTAAACATCAGTCTTTTGGATTTCAGTCATTCAACTTCAGACTTTTGAGTGCCACTATTTTGAACTTCAGTCTCCCGCACTTCAACCTTTAGACATCAATCTTTTGGACCTCACAATCTGTGGTCTTCGATCTTTAGATATCAGCCTTTTGTACTCAAAGTCTTCAGACATCAGTTTTTTGGATTTCATAGTCTTTGAACATCAGTCTTCAAACATCAGCCTTTTGAAAGTTAGTATTTTAGACGTTAGTGTTTTATATACACAAAAGTGGATGATTTGGGAAGAGGAGATACGATTATTCGAGCCTTGGGGCTCGTTTTCATAATTCTTGACAGTCGGTAATTACATAATAGCTATATCTATACAATCTATATAATAACTATAATCCATAAGTAAATAATAATATTAACTTTACTTAACTATAACTATACTACGTTAATAACTATAACTATATCTATGTAATAACTATAATAATAACTACATACATATAATACAGAATATAATATTTATTTAATTTTTATATATTTATATTTTTTATATTATTTCATATATTTTATACATTATTACGTTTATCTTATACATTTAATTCAATTTAATACCTTTAATTCGAAAATACATAGCGTAAATTCCGGTTCGGAATTATAAAATAGAAAATTAATTTGCTTCTAGAAACCAGGTGCGGATAAACTAGGTTCCATTATATCATCCAGTGACGTACGTCGAGAGCTACGTAAAATACAAAATAAAAAGTCAAACGCCAGCATTATTATACCCTTCTCTTTTGTCACAACAATTTATCATTTGCAGCAACTTTTTACTTCGACGATCGCATGCCGGCCAGCTCTTTTTGTTTGACGGACCATCGCGTGCCACGATGTGGTCCCTTCACCCGAAAACTATATAGTCTTTCGGCCACGAGGAAAAAGAAGCCGCGCATCGTGTGGACTGCGTCGAGCGTCGCGGTAAGTGGGTTTGTAAGCGAAATTAATGAGCGTCCGGCGCGGACGTCCGTCGAATATCAATCGGGCGCGCGGAGAACAAGGCTCGCCTAACTGTTTTATCATCGATTGCAAACCGATACGCGGCCGTTCTAATAAACGGCGAAACACTCGAGACGCACACCAGGAAATTCGAACAAGGCGATCGTGTCCTAAATGCCGGCAGCGGGAGCATCACTCGATCTCCCGGCTAATTAAACGACTCGGGTCCGCTCCGCGAGCTCGATTCCCGATACCCGAGTAGCTAGCTAGCACTGTACCGAAATCGGAATCCGACTTGCTAACTATCGAGCCGTTTAGATGCTGCCGGTGATTTCTCACGTGAAATTATCGATCGTTTATTGAGCTGTCTATCGGATTTGCGATTGCGCGACGGGACCACGACGTTCAGCAGATGTCTGCCTCTTTTCTCGGTTATTCGATGGTCTTGCGACTTGCCTTATTTATTTAGAGGATTCTGCGACGGAAACGTACCTTTTTGATCGGTAAATGAACTTAAATGCATCAAAGACAAATTGTATAGGGGTTTTTATATGCGTAGGATGAAATTGTAAAGGAATTCGTAAAGTGTTTCTCGATAGACTGATCGACATAAAATAGTCTTTGGGGATTTAGGCTTTGGACTTCAGTTTTTTGGACATAGGTGTCTTTAGACATCTGGCTTTGGACTTCAATTTTTCTGGACTTCGGGCTTTTGGATGATAGTATTTTGGATGTCAGTGAATGGACTTCAGACTTTTGAGTGCCAGTCTTTTGGATTTCAATCTTTAAACATCAGTCTTTTGGACGTTAATATTTTGGATGTTAGCGTTCGGATTACAATCTTCTGACCTTCAATCTTTAGATATCAGCCTATTCGACAAAAAGTCTTTAAACATTAGTCTTTTCGACTTCAGTCTGCAGGACATTGATATTTTGGATAAGTAAGTCTTTGGACTTCTTGGACTTATGAGTGCTAGTCTTTTGGATTTCAGACTTCCGGTCGTCAATCTTTATACACAAAAAGTCTTTAGACATCAGCTCTTCGGACACAAAGTCTTTAGATATCAGTATTTTGGACATCACAATCTTCAGGCTTCAGTCATTTGGACTTCAATCTTTAAACATCAGCCCTTTGGACAAAAAGTCTTT